TCCATCCATTTGTCCATCTATTTGTCCATCCATCCATCCATCCATCCATCCATCCATCCATCCATCCATCCATCCATCCATCCATCCATCCATCCATCCATCCATCCATCCATCCATCCATCCATCCATCCATCCATCCATCCATCCATCCATCCATCCATCCATCCATCCATCAATATATTCATCCATCCATCCATCCATCCATCCATCCATCCATCCATCCATCCATCCATCTATCCATCCATCCATCCATCCATCCATCCATCCATCCATCCATCCATCCATCCATCCATCCATCCATCCATCTATTTGTCCGTCCATCCATCCATCCATCCATCCATCCATCCATCCATCCCTCCACCCATCCATCCCTCCATCCATCCATTTACTGACTTATTTACCATTACAGAAGCTAGTTCCCCTCCCTCATTTCCTCACATGTAACCGGACACACCGTTCTGTCAAAGCAAAGGTTGATTTTTACCGTTTAACAGAGGAGTCATGCGTCTGGAAGTATATTTCCTCTGGCTCCGTGCGCGTAGCGATGGAGGGATTGTGCGTGATTTGAGGAGGACGAGGACACACAGGAGCATCCTTGAAACTTCCCAGAGTGAAGGGCTGACGCTGAGGGATTCCAGACCCTGGAACAGTCCTCTGGTGAGATCCGTACACGGCGTACTTTAAAGAACCCTTCCTCAACTTTGACACCTACTTGTTGTTTTTCTAGGGTTTTAAATTTTCTTTCAGCCAGTGAACTGTTTCCTGGTTGCTTAGACAAACGCTATTCTCTTAATTACACCAGAAACTTGGACTTCTTTAACTTCCAAACCCGCTGAGGCCATTTGTTTTAAGCTTCGTGATGGCTGATCTTAGATTTTTTTCACTTTTAATCATCTCCACAAACATATCTGAGCAGCCTCACTGGTCTTTAAGTAGCAAACAGATGACAACACAAGAGCATTAAGCAGCTTTGGAGTTAAATATCCAGCTACATTCAAGCAGCTAGAAAAGACATTTAAGGGAGTCCTTATATTTCTGTCTGCAATAACTTTATTATACTGTAAAGGGCATATAATAATCAAAATAATTAGAACATATCATAATTATAATGATTAATATGATTTTATTTAAAATCATATTCGTTAGACTATATAATGATTACAATGTATTTATCTATGAAATATGAAAAGATAACAGCAGAGGATTTAAAAAAAAAAGTTTATTTCCCATGGTTGAAGAGTCAAATACTGATTTAACAAAATGTTACTTCTTTTTGGAGGGGAAGGACATGTGGTCTGTTTGGAGATGTTCCTGTATGAAATGAGTGGAAGCGGACGGGTGAATAAAGTGGAGCTCCTAAAGAAAAAGGTGAAGCTCCTTTAGCATAAACCGACATGGCCAGGCCTCGTCCTCTGACCGGATCGGTGGGTCTGTCTGAGGTTTTGCTGGACGTGGTTGCCCTCTGGTGGCCCGAGTCAACAGCTGGACTTTGGTGGCTTTTAATGGCTTTTGGTGGCTCTGAGCTGCTTGAACCAGCCCGATTGGAACCAGGTTAATTTCAAATCAGCGATCCCGCCATCGCGTGTGAGGGTGGATCGTGTTGCTTTGTGCTTGTTCTGGTCGTTCCCACAGAAAGGGCTCGATCTCTATCTGGAGCCCGGGTAACTAATCACCAAACCACGCAGATCCATGAGCTCATAGCTGCACTGAGTCACCGTTTGAGCTGAGAAAAGCCTCAAAGTCTCACGATTCAGAGCGGGACTCTGTGCTAACACATGTGGCCCGGGAATAAAAAGACACAAAAAAACCCGGAGACAAATGTAAGAAACATTTAAAGGTATGTAGCGAACGCAGTTACATAAGCATTTTTTCCGTGTGAATTTGTTTTATTTTGTGAATATGAACATTTTTTTACTTTTAATTCCCATTTCATATCTTTGTGTATTTTTTTATTGATATGTACATACTTTGGGGAAATATTGTAACAATGTCAGATGGAAACGTCACCGATTGGGTCTTCACTTGATCACGTGATGCCTTTGATGGGAAGTTCTGAGTTTTGTTTATAATTAGTCTGCGTGTGCAAGAGTAAAGGCAAAGGACTGAAATATGGAAAAAATGGACTTCTAGCAACTCCTAACCTTCTGGTTGGAGGGGCATACGGTACGGACAATTTAGAGAATTTATATTTTGTTTAATAAGTTTCATTTGATAATTCATGTAACGTAACATGACGGTTTCACTGATGAATATTTTCCACCGCGTATTTTGCAGTGTTCACGGTGGTCTTGGGCGTTTGTATGACGGAAAATCCTTTAACTAACGTTTGGAACCATCAGTTGGATACTTGCACCTGCATCAACCAGTTATAAAAAGTTGGGAGCAGCTATAAGGTATTTATAATTTAGGATCCGTGAAAATCTGCAGACAATGCGATGAGGGGGACGTTTTTATCTGCCCACAGAGGAGCACCAACTCACACATGAGGGTACACGGGGTCACTAATCCAGTTTTTACTGTCAGTTGGATCAGTTTGAATCAACTGGAGGACATTTTTATGTTTCCTGAGCCTTTTTCACGGCTTGTTTGTGTGTTCCTCTGACCTGTGGAGCTGAATTCCTCCACTGACAGCTCTCTGCTGAGCACACCGACGTGCCCCAGATAAAAAGCTCTTCCTTCCTCCATCCTGGCAGCAGATGCATTGACGAGACCTAAAAAGCAGATTTCCTGGAAATGCCAAAAGGGGCTGGCATTTCTAAAATAACAGCAAATTTCGCTAGAATCAGAGAAAAATGCGAAATACACTTCCTTGTATTGTTTGGAACGGAAGCCACAGCGAACGGACTCAGCCTTTTTTTGACATGATAGCAAATAATCCCACGGCTCCATCAGAAGAAACCCACTCAGTGAGCAGAAAAATGAACACAACTATTGTGAAACTGATTAGAATAAC